AGATTTCCTTAATCCTTTTGAGATAAGAGAAACGATGTTAGTTTATTAGTTAGTTAGTTGCCACCAAACCCTCCTAAAATATGTATTCTCAATATCAAAATGAGACTCATTTTTTCCCTTCCTGTTTTTTCTCACAGTATCAACGACTCATTAAAAATGCCCTCCCACAGCTCACTTTTCTCCTGCTGTAATCATACTCTTTGTGTGTGTGTGTGTGTGTGTGTTTCAGTTAATCATGTGGGGCTGGGAGGAACTCGGAGTTCCCAAAGATGGGTCTTGAGCGATGAGCATTTATAGAGATTCTTTTTCTTCCCGTTCTTAAACATTACAAGATGCTTTGAATCAGCTTAAGGAGTAGTTACCCTCCCAAAGGAATACCTAAGGGGTTTATTTTAGCATGAACCATACTGGCCATTCTGGATCTGGCTTCAATCAGCATCCTCAGAAAAGCGGCTACACAAATTCCAGGGGCATCTTCTGAAGTCTTGCACAACGAAGTGCAATTCTTGGAGTGCAAGAGATTTAGAGCGTGCCTGGTGAGTGCTATGCTTGATCAATACATCTTCACCTATATGGAACAAGGTTTATATTGCCCCTGGGGTACAACTGATAGCATCATGATAGAACATATGCCCATATCTGCTTCTCTTTCTGGCAGAAAAAGAACATAAAGTTGGCTGAATGCCAAAGTTACCATTCCCTCTTCCGGTAGCAGAGAATACTGGTTACTATTGCCAACACAAGAACCACAGCCACCGGGATAATTATGGCAATGATCAATCCCAAAGCTGAAAAGAGTAAGAGCAAAAAGCCAGTAAGGCGGCAATATTTCAGTTAGTCAATAACTTCTCTCAAGTCTATGGCATAGATTTCCTAGAGTGTCTTTCAACATTAAGTTAAATTCCCAGGAAATAACCAATGTTGCTTTAAACAGTTTAACAGAAATGGAAGCAATCGATTGGAAACGGCAAATTCCCCTCCTGCTGTTTGTGCACAGAAAAAGCACTAAACTGTGCTATCCATTATTGGTATTCTTTGCTAATTTCTGAAGTACAACGGTTCTATCATTTAAATTACCGACCTAGGTAAGTCAACAACAGCAACAAAACATGTGCAGGAATATCATAAGCACCTGGAAAATATTTCCTTACCGAGACATTGTCATTTAAATCTTATACAGTGGAACCTCGGTTTACGAACTTAATTCATTCCGTGACTCTGGTCACGACCTGAATTGGTCGCAACCCGAAGCAAATTTCCCCATAAGGT